GGGACCTTATCTTACTCAGCAGCCTCCTGTGTGGCACCTTATCAAAGGCCTTCTTGAAGTCCAGGTAGATAACATCCATTGCCTCTCCTTGGTCTACCCTGCTCGTTACTTCCTCAAAGAATTCTAGCAGATTTGTCAGGCATGACTTCCCCTTGCTGAAGCCATGCTGACTTTGCCCTACTTTACCATACACTTCCAAATATTCAGAAATCTCATCCTTTACAATGGACTCCAAAATCTTACCCACCACCGAGGTTAGGCTAATCGGCCTGTAATTTTCCATCTTTTGCCTTACTCCCTTTTTAAACATGGGTGTCACGTTAGCGATTTTCCAGTCCTCTGGGACCCCCCCCTGACTCTAGCAATTCCTGAAAGGTCACCACTAACGCTTCCACTATCTCTTCAGCTATCTCCTTTAGAACTCGGGGTGTAGTTCATATGGTCCAGATGATTTGTCCACCTTCAGGCCAATCAGTTTTACTAGCACCTTTTCCTTGGTAATGGCCACCATACTCAACTTTGCCCCCGACTCTCTTGAATTTTTGGGACATTACACGTGTCTTCCACTGTGAAGACTGACGCAAAGTAATTATTCAGTTCCTCAGCCTTTTCCTTGTTCCCCACTACGATCTCTCCACTGTCATTTTCCAGTGGTCCAATGTCCACTTTTGCCTCTCTTTTGCCCTTAATATATTTAAAGAAACTCTTACAGTCTTCATTTATTTTACTGGCTAGCTTACCCTCATATTTAATCTTCTCCCTCCTTATTTCTTTTTTTGTTGCCCTCTGTTGGTTTTGTAAGCTTCCCAGTCCTCTGGTTTCCCACTGCCCTTCGCCACACTATACGCTTTCTCTTTTGCTTTTATGCTTTCCCTGACTTCCTTAGTCAGCCATGGTTGCCTCATCCTCCCTGTACCATGCTTCTTTTTCCTAGGGATGAATTTTTGCTGCATCTCCTGAATTACTCCCAGAAACTCCTGCCATTGCTGTTCCACTGTCGTTCCTGCTAGTCTCCTCTTCCAGTCAATTCTGCCCAGCTCCTCCCTCATACCTCTGTAGTTGCCTTTATTTAGCTGTAATACCACTACCTCTGATTCTATCTTCTCCCTCTCAAATTGCAGAGTAAATTCTATCATTTTATGATCACTGTCTCCTAAGGGTTCCTTTACCTTAAGCTCCCTTATCAAGTCTGCCTTATTGCACAACATTAAATCCAGTATTGCTTGTTCTGTTGTGGGCTCCACCACAAGCTGCTCCAAAAAGCCATCTCGTAGACATTCCACAAACTCCTTTTCTTCCAATCCACTACCAACATGATTTTCCCAGTCCATCTGCATATTGAAATCCCCTGTGATCACTGTGACTTTGCCTTTCTTACACACCTTTTCTATCTCCTGGTGTATCTTGCGTCCCAGCTCCTGACTACTGTTTGGAGGTCTGTACACAACCCCAACTATGGTTTTTTTTAATCTTTGTGGTTCCTCAATTCTACCCACACAGATTCTACACCATCTGACCCTACTTTGTTTCTTCCTATTGATTTAATTTCATTTCTCACCAATAAGGCAACCCCACCCCCTTGGCCCACCTGCCTATCTTTTCAATAGGATGTATATCCTTGGATATTCAGTTCCCAATCCTGATCCCCTTGCAGCTACATCTCCATGACGCCTACCATGTCATACCTGCCAGTTTCGATCTGAGCCACAAGCTCATTTACCTTATTCCTTATACTGCGTGCATTCAGATATAACACCTTCAGTCCTGTATTAACCCTCCCTCTTCTCATTTTCATGTGTTTTTCCAGTGTTTGATTGCTAGCCTTTTCCAAACACTCTGTCCTATTTGTGTCTGTGCTGGAGACTTTAATAACCTCTCCTGAATTCTCCTTCCCTGTCATTTCTTTCATATTTTTCCACTTAGTTGAATCCACCACTACTGATGTTAACTTGCTGCTTTGTTTCCCACTGGGGCAAGTTTCACGATTCCCTTGCCTCCTGCTTTCTAGTTTAAAGTCCTGTTGACCAGCCTATTTACCCTTTTCGCTAGAACATTGGTCCCAGCTTGATTCAGGTGGAGACCGTCCCATGGTACAGATCCCGTCTGTTCCAATACTGATGCCAATGCCCCATGAAAAGGAACCCCTCTTTCCCACACCACTCTTTTAGCCACGTGTTTACTTCCCTTATTCTCATGTCCCTATGCCAATTAGCACATGGCTCAGGCAGTAATCCGGAGATTATAACCCTAATTTCTCCGGCAATATCTGTTTTTGAATCAGATCAGCAGTTGCTTCTAATTTTTGTTTTTAAACAGGTAGAGAAATAAAGTACTCACTGTGCTTCAATGCAAGTTTTTTTTTTCCAGAAGGCTTTGACAAGGGTGCTGCATAAGAGGCTGTTAGAAAAGAAGAGTCCATGGTGTTAGGGGCAAGGTACTGATATGGGAAAGAGGACTGGCTGACTGGCAGAAGGCAGAGAGTAGGGCTAAAGGGGACTTTTCAGGATGGCAGCCAGTGACTATAGGACTTCCACAGGGGTCAGTGTTGGGACCGCAACTATTCATGTTGTACTTAACTATCCGGATGAAGGAACTGAGGACATTGTAGCTAACTCTGCAGATGACACAAAGATAACTGGAGGGACAGGTCATGTTGAGGAAACCAGGAGTCTGCAGGAGGACTTAGATAGGCTTGGAAAATGGGCATAGAAGTAGCAGATGGAGTACAATGTGGGAAAGATGAAGTTATGCACTTTTGTAGGAAGAATAGAAGTGCAGACTATTTTCTAACACAAAGGTGCTTGAGAGTCCGAGTTCACCAATTTCTTAAGGTTAATGTGCAGGGTCAGTTGGCAATTAGGAAGGCAAATGCAATGTCAGCATTCACTTCAAGACAGCTAGAATGCAAGAGCAAAGATATACTACTGATGCTCTGTAAGGCTCTGGTCAGACAGCATTTGGAATATTGGTTTCTGATGAAGGGTCTAGGCCCGAAACGTCAGCCTTTCTGCTCCTATGATGCTGCTTGGCCTGCTGTGTTCATCCAGCTCTGCACCTTGTTGTCTCGGATTCTCCAGCATCTGCAGTTCCTGCTATCTTGGAATATTGTGAGCAGTTTTGAACCCCGTATCTAATGAAGGATGTGCTGGTGCTGGAGGGGTCCAGAGGTTTACATGAATGGTCCCAGGGACGAAGTGCTTATCACTTGAGGAGTATTTGAGGACTCTGGGTCTGTAATCGATGGAGTTTAGAAGTATGTGGGGGAGATCTCATTGAAATTTAGTGAATATTGAAAGGCCTGGATACAGTGAACATGGAGAAGATGTTTCCATTATTAAGAGACAAAGTCCTGAGGGCACAGCATCAGACTGAAGGGATGACACTGTACAATTTATATGGGAGGTGATGGCCTAGTGATAATCGCTGGACTGTTAATCCAGAGACCCAGATAATGTTTTGGGGACCTGGGTTCAAATCCCACTACAACAGATGGTGGAATTTGAAATCCATTAAAAAAAAACTTCTGGAATTAAGAGTCAAATGATGACCATGAATCCATTATTGGGAAAAATCCGTCTGGTTCACTAAAGGGAACGAAACTGGAATCCTTACCTAGTCTGGCCTACATATGACTCCAGACCCCCAGCAATGTGGTTGACTCTTAACTGCCCTCTGGGCACTTAGGGATGGGCAATAAATGCTGCCCTAGTCAGCGATGCCCTCATCCAATGAATGAACAAATAAATAACTGAGATAAGGAGAAATTTCTTTAGCCAGCGAGTGGTTAATCTGTGAAATCCATTGCCTCAGAAGGCTGTGGAGGCCAAGTCATTGAGTGTATTTAAGATAGAGATAGTTTATTGATTAGTAAGGGGATCAAGTGGGAGAGGCAGGAGAATGGAGTTGAGAGGCCATGATCGAATGGTAGAGCAGCCTTCCTGTGCTGAATGGCCTACTTCTGCTCCTATGGTCTCATAACCACCAGTTTTGGTCAGAGCACTTGACTGTAGTTTTACCTTCAGCTCTGAACTGGGACAGATTGATAGATAACTATAAATAATGGCTGCACAAAGGTTATCATCTTTTAGCATCCACTCTCTGACAAAAGAAACCAAGATAAATTGTACTGTTCAGCAAGTGGATTCTTCAATATTCTGATCTAGCCAAGTTCACTATGTTGAAAGTAGATGCTGTTATGTGGTGCAACTCAACAGGTTGCTTTGTCCTGGATGACGTCATGCTTCTTGAAGTGTTGTTGGAGCTGCACTCATCCAGATGAGGAGGAGTATTCATCATACTCCCTAAACCATTCAACAGAGTGAGAGTTTGGTAGAATGAAACGGAATGGATTCTCACAGGAAGCCGCATGTGAGCCAGGTCAGGACAGCTCCTTTTGGCGTCTGGCTCAAGGGGAAAATGTAAAACAAAAACAGAAATTGCTGGAAAAGCTCAGCAGATCTGGCAGCATCTGTGAAGAGAAATCAGAGTTAACGTTTCGGGTTCAGTGATCCTTTCTCAAAACTGGGAAAGTGTGGCTGCTGACAGATAGTAAGAACTGCCGATGCTGGAGTCAGAGATAACACAGTGTGAAGCTAGTTGAACTCAGCAGTCCAGGCAGCATCAGAGGAGCAGGAAAGCTAATATTTCGGATCGGGACCCTTCTTCAGAACGTGCTATGACTGACTGTTTGGGCACAGGTATTGACCAGTAATAGGTTGCTGTTTCCTAGCCGCGCGACCTATGGTTGCACGTGTATAAATCTTATCCAATGAAATAATGTGGACTCACGGACCATTTTACAATTGGCTATTTCGTTTCACGTTATGGCCAATAGAAGAGTTGAAAACGCGAAGCACACTGTCATTGGCTAAACTGGTGGAAAATCCGACAAAGAGGTGGGCGCGACTGCTTGATCCGCACTATGATTGGTCAATCTGCTGACAGTCCTGGCCAATAGGACTCTGTGGCTCACCGGAACGCGCTGTGATTGGTGGCCCGAATGGCGGGAGATTACAGGCGGCTCGGGCTAGCTCGGTTGCTGGGACATACCGGTTGTAGTGCGCTAGGCCCTGGGTTATGGAGTTCTCCAGGAGTAGGCCGCGTCGCCTGCGATGCTCCCCCTTGGCTGAGATCTATCCGTTTCCGATCCAGTTCTATGAGCAACCGCCGACTGAGAACGTCTCGTTGCAGGATTTCGAGAATTTCGCGATGGAGAGGCTGAAACGTAGGAGCAGGCGCGGGGCGGATGGAGGGAGGGAGGGATAGGGGAGGGTGCGAGGTATGAAATGGGAAGGCAGAGGTTATAGGTAGGAGAGGAGGAGACGTGTAAAGAAAAGCATATGGGGTAATGGAAGAGATAGGTGAAAGGGACAAGGAGGTTAGACCTCGGTTGGAGTATTGTGTACAGTTCTGGATGCCATACTGTAGCCTTTAGTGAATACATTGGAGGGAGTGCATAAGAGGTTTGCGAGAATAGTTCCAGGAATGAAAAGTTTCAGTTACGAGGGTAGGTTGGAAAGCTGAACGTGTCTTTCTTGGAGAGGTGAGAGCTGAGGTGTGATTTGACAGAGGTTTTTTAAATCCTGAGATGCCTGGACAGTGTTGATTAAGAGAAACTTTTCCTGGTTGTAAACGGATCAAGAATCAAAGTGCGCGGGCTTAAAGAAGAACTGAATGTGAGATAAGAATCTTTTAGATGCAGTAAATGGCTCTGACCTGGAATGCACTGTGTTATAAGTGCAATGGAGACAGGTTTAACTGAGGTATCAAGACAATCACAGAATCCTTACAGAACGTATAGAGGTTGTTAGGCCCAATGGGTCTACACCGATCCTCCGAAGTGCCAGATCCAGCCCATGCACCCTCTTGCCATAATCCACATTTACTGTGACTAATCTGTTTAGCCTGCACGTCCCTGGACAGCATGGGGCAATTTAGCATGGCCAAACTAGCTAACCTGCACATCTTTGGTCTGTGGGAGGAAACCACAAGAAGCCCACGCAGACATAGGGCAAATGTGCAAACTCCGTACAGTCACCCAAGGTTGGAATCGTACCTGGGTCCCTGGCATTGTGAGGCAGCAGTTCTAACCACTGAGCCACCTTGCTGTCCTAAAGAGAACCTTGAGACGGTTGTTTACATTTAAACATTGTGCTGTTGGGTTACTGACAAAAGTTAACAGTTTGGCATTGAGTGAAATTGCTCAGAGAGCTGGTGCAGACGTGATGGGTTGAATGGACACCAGCATTGTATCAATTCTGATTCATTAGCGTGTTGGTAACTGCAGGTCATACAGCCAAGGTTGTGGGGTGTGAGCATTATTAAGACCATTCATACTGAACAAGCTGATGTCTCCTAGCTGCAGCATCCATTTCTCAACAGGATCTGAATCCAGCTCAAATTTAGTAGAAACAAAACTTCTTCCCGATAATGAACTCAAACAAACAACATGGAATTTGTCGATGGGAATGATAGGTCTGGTTCAGTGGGTAATTCTCTGTCTCACCTGACGTTTCAATTACTTTTATCGCAGACTTGAACAACTTCAGTGTTTATCATAAACTAGAACAATTTTTTTTCCCTTCTAGTTCTCAAGTGTGTAGAAACACTTGGCGTTAGCCATGTCAGGACATCGGAGGCCTATAACAAGAAACTGGAAAATGAATTTCGAAAGCTGAAGTTTCCTTACAGAGTAAGTATCGATATTGTGTTGTTAGTATTTTGTTAATAAAAGAAATCAGCACCTTATGTCTGGTATTTCACCCATGGCTTTCTCCATATTGTTCTCTTTTTCTCACATGAAGTCATATAGGTGTTGCCTTGGGTGAAGCCATTCTTTCCATTTGCCATCTTTCTGAAAGAGCTATTGGTGCCACTCCTGCCATGTCTTGCTTTCTTCGTTTGTTCACTCTCCTTCTTGATGGGAGTTTTAATAATGATCACTTGTCTTGATATAGTGACTTTGTTAAATAGTCCACAGTGCTTCACAGAGATATTACAAGTGAGACTTTCGGGTAAATGAGCAAAAACTTAAACCTGAATTGACCTATGGATTCAGTTACTGTGAATCAATAACTGGGTCAGTTTGAGCTGAGGCAAATAACTGATAAGTACTTCCCCTTAAATTTGGGTGACAGAATGATCTGATTATAGTACACCGTGTCACTTGAAGCTTCCTCTTGCACTTCTTCCTCAACGCTATCACCTTGCTGTCACTTCTGTTCTCCCTCTGCAATCCTTCTGTATATCCTTTCAATTCATTGTAACTCTTGTGTTTCTCCTTTCCTTTAAGTGTTTACATGCTATTCACTTAGACGGCTACCTATCTTGTATAGTTCCATGTTCTCACCTCTCTTTAATGAACAAGTATGGGTGAGAAATTTCCCCCATTTGACGGGATTCTAAATTTCCACTAGGAAATTTGTGCTTTTTGAATTGTTTTTCTCCCCAGGTGGGCCCCAGAGGTGCTGCTGCTCAGCCTGGTACCCACCTGTAGTGGCTACTTTCATTCATCCTGCTGGCAGGCTGTTTGTGGTAGTGGTTGCTGGTAGACTCACTGGCTTCGGGAGGTATGGGGTGAGGTTTTGGCAGGAGGTGACATTTGGCAGCAAAGTTGGAATCTGCTGAGTTTGGCAAGTGTGGTGGAGGGCAACAGAACCTGAGCGTTTGGTGGTAATAGCAGTGGTTGGTTGGGCAGAATGATTAATTGAGAGGAAAAGGAAGTGGGGGATTGGTAGAGGAGTTGCTGGGAGGTGGGCTGCAGGGGTTGGGTGAGAGTCAGTGTGGAGTGAGATTTAGGGGAGGGCTGATTAAAGTGAGTGTGGGGAGAGGGCCTTCACTGAGCCTTCTGTCACCAGGAAATGTGGAGAGGCTGGCTGAAACATAGGTTTTCACAAAGTTATTTAACAATGCAAATGTTCACGTTTCTGTGACTTGTGTGCTTATCTATCACATTTGAATGTTAATAATTAAACTGGCTGTTGGTACACTGCTTTGTTGCTGTTTAATTTTTGCTGGCAGTTAATTTTCAAGAATTTGTTTCATGTTTTTTATTCCTGGAAGGAAGGCATCGCTGGCAAGGCAGCGTTATTCCTATTTGTTCTTGAAGGTGGTAGTGAACTAAATTCGGGTTCTCTTTAGAAAATAGTTTTCAAACCAGTCTTCTAGCCCTTTGCTTTTCTTTGCAAGTATGTAGTCCTGCAAGGTCATGTTCTGTTGTTTGTACGGACTTCAGCTTGTATTACATGCACTAACCGTATTAAATGCTGAAATATTGGGGGTCATTTTGATGATTTGTTAAAATGCATTGGTCCACAATAAGTGTTGGTGATGACAGGAGGTAACAAAGGGAAAACTACTATTCCTGCCCACTTAGTTGGAGTTGAAAAATTTTACCCATTTGAAATGGCCTGTAAACATTTCCATTCACTACAGTTCATAAAAGATGATATTACTGTATTAGGATTCCTCAGCATGAATATTTCAGAAGTTTTTTTTTGTCTTTGACCATTTTTACCCCAAAAGTAGTTTCTCCTGTATTCATTATTAGATATATGAGCATCTGTATCCTATTTATGGTCACTAGGTTTGGTTTTCCTCACAAAAAAATCTCTCCATAACTACTACATGGAGCTTCTTCAAATGTTGAAGACCTCTATTGGCTCATCGTTCAGCTTTCTAGAGAAGAAAGTTCTGGCTTGTTCAGTCTTTCCTGTCTTGCTATCATTCTTTGGAAAACATTTTTGTTATTTGCACCTTTGCCAGTTCTCTCCATCTTTGAGAATATCCTGGGTCAAATAATCTGTTCCACCAACATTTGTACTTTTCTTTCTAAAGTGACATAATAATTGCAGCTTCATGTTAACATTATTAGGAATCCTTTGAAAGCATCACAAACTTTGTTGTCAACTGACATAAACTGACACTGGACGGCTGGTGAACATGCCATTTAGATTTTGTTACTTCCATCATCGGGTGTGAAGTATGGAATAGGTTACTAGAGGAGCTAGGTAATGTTGGAGGGTTTAAGTGTGAACTGGATTGGCATTGGCTGTTAGAAGGGAAGAAAAGAACAGTTGTGATACCTGTTGGGAATGGCCAACTTTGGATTTATTCGTGGATGTGTTTGTCGCAAGTTAGGACAGCAGTTATTGCCCTGGACAAGGTGGCACTGAGCCTTATTGAACTACTTCTATCCTTGGGATGTGGAGCACCAACAGTGCATAGGGGTTATATAGGGGCTTTGATCCAATGTTGATGAAGGCGCTATATAGTTCCAGTCAGGATGGTGTATGACTTGGAGGGAAAGATTCATCACATTTGTTACGTCAAAACGTTTTCAAAATTTCAAACACCTTGAATAAATTTTCTTCTCCCCATCTCTGCTCTGAGGAGAAAAATCCTTGAATTTTAATTCACCCATCTTAAAATCATAATTTTTAATTCCTCTTGTAAATCTGCCTTTGCTTTCTAACTGTTCTTGTTTTATGATTTTAGTAACAGCGGTTTTATTTTGTTTAAAAGCAAAATATTGTGGATCCTGGAAATCTGAAATAATGACAAATTGCTGGAGGAACTTAGCAGATCTGACAGCATCTAAGGAGAGTAAAACAGTTGATCTTGCCAGTTTTCAGAACAGTTTTGAAGAAGAGTCATTTGGATTTGAAACAATAACTCTGTTTCTCTCTCCACAAATACTGCCTGACCCACTGAGTTTCTCCAGCATTTTTTAATATTTTCTTTTATTTTTGGGATTGATTAATTATTCAAGGTCCTTTTCTCTCCTTGCTTCCTTCCCAGGTTTCAAGTGAAGAGAGGCTGGATGAGTATGAAATAAGAAGGAAAGATCACATTTCTCATTTCATATTGCGTCTTGCTTACTGCCAGTCGTGAGTAAAACCTGCAGAACACCTTTTGATGTGGTCTTTTAGAAACTGTGACTCTTTTGCGGCCAGAAAAGTGCAGGGATTCTGACATGTCCGTTTTCAAATTCTAAATACATAACATTCAATTCACGGGAATAGTAATCTTCTCTTGTTAATCCATGGTAATAAATTTACAAGGTACCTGATCAGTTGTGTGACCTTTTGATCTTTTACTTGTAAATTCTGTGTCTGACCCTCCTTTCTCGCTGGCGCCTGGGGAGGGAGTGAGGCTCCGAAGGCTTGTGTTTTCGGGTTGACCTGTTGACTATGGCCTGGTGTCGTGCGATTTCTGACCTTGTCCACCCCAGGCCAACACCGGCATCTCCACATCAGTTTCTCATATTCGTTGTCTAAAGTTAAAGAAAATGTCATTCTTCCTCATTTACTGGAGGTGACAACACTTTACAATTTACTGGAGGGGCGGCACGGTGGCTCAGTGGTTAGCACTGCTGCCTCACAGAACCAGGAACCCAGGTTCAATTCCACCCTCGGCGACTGTCTGTGTGGAGTTTGCACATTCTCCCTGTGTCTGCGTGGGTTTCCTCCGGGTGATCTGGTTTCCTGCCGCTGTCCAAAGATGTGCAGGGTAGGTGGATTGGCCGTGCTAAATTGCCCATGGTGTTCAGGGATGTGTAGATTAGGTGGGTTATAAGGATGGGTTTGGGTGGGATGTCTGAGGTCCGGTGTGGACTTGTTGGGGCGAAGGGCCTATTTCCACACTAGGGATTCTATGATTCTATGATTTGCAAAGCATTCAGAAAGAAGAAATTCAATAATTTAAACAAAAATGAATAGCCACCAGAGGGTGCTGTGGGATCATTTATGAGCTTGTATGATTTTATTAATCATGGTTCAGTGGGTTGTCCCAAATTTGTGGTGACTTTTAAAATCAAATTAATCATCAGATGTATGTGGAGAGAGACCAGTGGTTTGGGATCTGATAGGAAAATTTCTTTTTCCAATGCATCTTGTATGTTGAAGCTTGCATGGTTACAGGCAGAGTTCCCCCTCCCCATCTCCTCAGATATTGCTCAGTAAACAGTAATTCATTTCCAAAGTTTGCCATCCCTAGCCTAACTTGGGCCAGTGTCCAGTTCATTCATTTGCCTAAATTAAATTAGTCTGGTTAAGCAATCCTTCGACTTCTAAAACTCTGATCCTTGTGTTTAGATCCTCCTATGGCATCAACTCTCTTGCTCTACTAAATATCTCCCTCTTGGACCAAACGTTTATAAAAGCAAGTACTGTCCTCCGGATCCCTCCATTGCATGCGGCATCTACCTCTGTGTCCAAAGCTCTGTTGTCATTACCCTGGTGCAGAGAGTGTATCAGAAATCGGTTCCAAAACTCTGTTAGGTGTCACAAGTATGAAATAGACCAATTGAATCTCCAGTATGGTCAATGCCTGACTGTGACCACGGTCTAAGATAAAAAAATACTTTTAGCAGGTTTCATTAATGAATAAGAGAATATTTTAAAGAAAACAGTTTAAGCACTTACTTGTTAGAGGATACCTTTGTTATAACACGTGCCAAAAACGTGACTAATTAGTAATAGGCAAATGGAGACTCCAAGTCATTTTATTTTTTTTTCTTTTGAATTCTGGACCTAAATGGGAAAGTGCTGTTTGATATTAAGGATTGCGGAAGATATTCCTGCGCTTCTCAACCAAGTTGCTGGTAACTTATGAGTTACATCCACATTGTTACTTTCTTCAAGCTGTGAGGGAAGATGTCTAAGGTGCCATGGCATTGTGTGTGATGTGTGTGTGTGTATCCGAGGAGAGATTGTTGATTAGTTTGTGGAGGCCAAAGGTCAGCAGCATGACCACAACACTCTCTCCTGGGCAGGCCTGCAGAATATGTGTAAACAACGCAAGGATAGAAACCCCCAGACTGCAAAAGGAAAGTCTCTGTGCAGCGAAGCCACTAAAAAAGTGAAAGATACCAACCAACCTCTCCCACCATTTACTGTAAAGTGTTGCCTCTAACCAGAGAGTGAAAGAGTGAACAATTAATATGCCAGAAAGTATTGGAGGAGCCAAAGGGACATCTCATCAAATCCGAGAGATTCACCCCCCACAGAAGTAGAAAGATTCAGCTTCCAGCAAAAGAACACCATGTGGTTCAATTTTTCCATTGAGTTTTTTGTAAGAAAAACTAATATTACATATTTCCATTTGGAAACATAAACCAGAGATATCTCACACTTCCATTTTTTGTCTTATATTTCCAAATAAAATATCATTTTTACAGTGTGAGTCAAGATTCTGCCTGTTCAGTGACTCTGAAATGATGGTGGCTTCGAATCAAGGAAAAGCCAGCAATGCCTTGTTGAAGTGCAATTTCCCATCCAATCTTGCTGTGTGACATTGGTGTGTTGTGAATTGCTGAGCAACTGCTTTTACGATCACTCATTCCACTAACCTTCAGTGGCCTCTAAAATGCCATACTTTTCCTATTTCCTAATTTCCTGAAACTCTGGGAGGAGCAGTTATTGCTGGAGGTGTCCCAATCTATTATGTAGGAATAGTTACTTGAGATCTGAACTGTAGTGTGCTAAATGTATGGTTGGTCTGATTTTTTTTTTTCCCCTCCCCTTATTTCCTCAGGGAAGATCTGAGACGATGGTTTATCCAGCAAGAATTGGAAGTATTCCGTTTCCGATTCAACGAACTGTATAACAAGCAGCTAGAATTTCTCAAGCACAATAAGCTGGAATATCAAGCTGTGAGTACAGAATCAACCTTCGTGCACATTGTCCATTTTCAACTGTTTTGTTTTTCTCATTGTTCATAGTGATCGACTTAAATCATAATCCCACTGCATCAAAGTGCATAGGATATACAGAAATGGGCTTTTCAATTCAAACTTACAAACTTTCTCTTCTTTCCTTATCGAACTCTATTAGTGTTTCTGCCTTTCTACATTTGTTATTCTGTTGTATGCAAGAACCTTTTTTTTTTGTGGGGGGAAGGTGGTGTTTACCTGCCTGGTGTCAGAATCAGAATCTCTCTCTCGTTCATTCCAACTCACCCTGTCTTAATTTAAATGTTTAAATTTTATCTGTACAGTTGTTGTGATTATGTTATAACGATTTTCCCATTACCCATCTTTGGCCATCACCTCCTCCTCTGCCATAGCTGAACTTTGGTTTAGAACTTCCTCCACTCCAAAGAGACCTTAAGTGGCTGCTGACCGATGATGGTAGTAGCTGTTGGACCATTTCACAAAGTTTGGAAGTTGATGTTTCTGAATTTAAAAAAACCTTTGACCCTTGATAATTATCTTCCAGAACCTTCTTTCACAAGATAAAAATTGTCAACGCTGTGTTTTTAATCTGATGCAAATTCAGAAGTTATTAAGGATAGCAGCGCAGATTAATAAAGATATAAAAATGTAAATAAAATGCTGGCATTAGTTTAGTTAGGATAGAACTGAAAAGCAGAAGGGTTATGCCAACTTTAATAGAGCCTTAGTTAGACTCTACACAGTTCTGGTTTGCATATTTTAATAAGGACATGGAAGCTCTGGCAAAAGGGCAATAAAGGATTTGCAGGGATCATACCAGAACTGAGGCTATAACAAAACAAAAAGACTGAGCAAGCTGGGACTCCCTTTTATTCTAGATAAGTGTGAACTGATCTTTATGTCTGTGAAATGATTTGATATGGTGAACATTTGTGGAAAAAGTCCAAAACTCAAAGTCATAAATATGTGACAATTGCTAAGAACTATATAGTAGGGAATTCCAGGGGAAAACTTGTTACTCGGAGTGGTGAGAATGTGCAACTTGCAGGCAGCAGCAATCGACCTGCCTCAGGGCTGAACATTCTCCAGTTCATGTTTGATGGTGTCACAGTCTGTTGTGTTCATTTGGGAGTACTGAGATGTTATTACATTTCTCAAAGGAAAGAGGTATGAATTCTGTGGGTTGACTGTACACAAACATTTGGTCCATCTGTTCAAGAATAATGTACGTAAAAGCTAGACCAAGTTCACTTCTCAGTGCTTGAGGATGTGTGGCTTCTCAAAAGTGAAGGGATAGGAATCTGATATTAACAAAGAAATCGCTCTATTCACCAGAACCCAATTACTGTGCTTATTTCTGACACTTTGATCTGTGTGTTTAAAATGGCTTTCTGAAACTAGATAGTCTCCTGAAATTAAGTCTGTTTGAAATGTACTTGCACCACTTCAGGCTAGTACCTTCTTTGATAATTTCTGTTGAAAAGCAGAAAATCTGGATTGCCAAGATTGCAAGTCAACTAGAGTCTTTCATTTGGAACCCATGACTGTTGCTTTCTTGGTTGTACACTGTTTGTTTCCAATCTGCTTCCTGGTGAGGCAGCAGTATCAGTTGATGATAAACATGCTAAAATATCTGCAACTGCATCTAGTGCAGTTAATTCTCTGCTTGTAAAGAGAAGTACTCGCTGAAGGCATAACCATTACACTTCCTGTGCTCCCATCAACTGTGCTATAGTCATGAACAAACTCATCATCTTGATGCGCAGTTGAGGTAATTGGAGGCCAATGATTAATTGATTGAAAAGTGCTTTAGGAGGAACCAGACACATTGATATGTTGCAGAAGTGCATTTTTGCTTCCTTAACAGATTAACCTTGTAGACCATGCTTACCCCAAACACAGGTTATTAATATTATTAGCTTCCCACTGGGTTCATGCTTAGGTTTACTAAAAATCCATGTCATTGCAGACAATTGCATACTCTAGACCTGTAACTAAAGGAACTGCATTGAGAGTTGAAGAATAATTTATTTATTGCATTTATGTATTATTTAATGTCTTTCAAAACTTTGGGACTTCCTAGTGATGTTGTACAGCGAATTAATTAACTACTTTTGAAGTCTAGCTACTGCTGTAATGTAGGAATTGCAGAAACCAATTTATACACACGAAACTCCTTTAAATAACAATGTGGTCATGACTAGGTAATCCATTTTGTATCTTTGTGGATAAATATCGTCCAAGCTTCTGGGGCCATTTCTCAGAGGTTCAGCATAATAATGTGGGAAATTTTGCATCCATCTGAGAGAGTAGAACAGGCCTTGGTTTAAAATCTTATCTGAAAGACGACACCTCTGACAATGTTGCACTCCTTAGGAACATATTGGGATGTCAGCTTAAATGGTGGCCGAGTTTCCAGAGTGGGATTTGAACTTGTAACCTTGTGCGTCAGGTGAGAAAGCTACTTACTGAAGTTGTTGTCATTCTGTTTCATGTAGAATCTCAACACTGGGAGAAAACTTTCTTCCAATAAATTTGAGGTGGATTCAGTGCCTGTTTGAGATGGACTATGGCAGCTAACAGACGATAACACGTTTGGTTTAAATGGTTTTCAGAAGGTACACAAGTACCTCATGTTTCCACGAAGTGTAATCTGCAGTTCCCAATGTGCTGTTGGAAAAACAAACTTGAGACATTGTGCTGTAATTTGCTGATCACTTAATATTGCCTGTTTTCCAATAGTGTTGGACCTGTAGCCATGAGCAGTTCAGCCTAGTATTCTCTGCAGATATGAACCAAATTCAGTAGGGCAAAAGCCATGCATAGAATTATAGAATCATACTGTACAGAAGAGGCCCTTTGCTCGTCCAAATCCTATTCATGCCCTAAGATGCCGAATTATGTTTACAACTTTGCAGATTTTGGGTGGACATGTAATTGGCATTTGAATAAAGGAGTTGGGTACTGGCTCCAGATTCAAGACTCTTGGTCTGTGCACTGATCCAATTTGTAATATGGAAAGGCCCCTTGACAACTGCAATTTACGCATACAATGGTGAACGAGTGGGTCTAACTGGAATGCTCTTTGATAGAACACAGCCTCAATGGGCTAAGTGTCCTCTTACAGCATGCTGTTCTATGAAGCAAGTGGTGTGATTTTTTTTTTTGAAAAGTAGAGTATTGCTTTTTCTTTGGTGTAATCCTCATTATTTCGAGCCTAAATAATGCTGTTAAGTTGCACAGGGGAATGAAATCTTCCCTTTCTTTATAGTTGAAAGTACGAGTTCAGAGTTGAAGTAGGCCATACAGCCCCTGCACCTGTTCCACCATTCAATAAGATCATGTTTGATCTGACTACTCCATGATCCTGCCTAATCCTGATAACCTTTCACCCCCATGCTGGTTGAGAATCTAGCCACCTCTGCCTTAAAAATTTTCAAAGACTCTGCTTCCACCTCCTTTTTGAGGAAGGGGTTTTCAAAGGCACTCTACCCTCTGAGAAAAAAATATTTTACTGATTGGTCCTAAATGGGAGATCCCTTACTAGATTATATTAAGATTTAAGGAGGGTCAGTTAATTCATTTGGCTAAGTGGTGGTTTGTGACATAGATTGACGCCAACCATGTGGGTTTAATTCCTACACCGACTGAGGTTATCATGAAGTACCCTTCTTAACATCTCCCCTTGTCTGAGGCGTGGTGAGCCTCGGGTTAAACCACCACAGTCTTCTCTATTTAATCAGAGAGCAGCCCTATCTTCCTCTGGGACTGTGGCAACTTTACTTTCATGAATGCTTAAGTTTTGTGGTCAGAAATCTTTCTTGTTTTCACTGTAAAAAAACATATTACCGTTCCAAGATGGCTGGAAGTTTGGAATGTGAATCATACAAGTTTGAACTCCAGGGAAGTGGGACTTTTGCTGTGAGGTGATATTGAAAATTAAGACCGGAGGTCGATCATGACCTGTAAACAGCAAATTTGTAAACTGAGACCATTTGTGTTTCAAGCATGTCAGTTTGAATCTGTGGTTCATAAAATCAAGGAATGCAAGATCTGTGTAAGTTTGCTTTTTTTTTTGCTGACTGGGTTAAGCATGTGCTAATCAAATCTTCCATTCACCAGTATCTAAGAGTAAAAGATGACAAAGGTGTTTTTTTCTTTTGAGACAAATAACTGAAGAGTCTTTCACATTGGTCTTCTAACTCAGTTTTCAGCAGCTGACTCCCAATTTTATGTTTGCTGGTTTAGGGAGACTGGTGGCAAATCTATACATTTTGGTCTTCCAGTCTAATGCTAGGCTGCAATAACAATGCTTAATAGCACAACTGCCAGGCTCATGTGTGCTGGCTCCTGGAAACCAATTCAAGAGAAACTTGTAGGAAAACTGCCTTCAATTTGTGAAATAGTCAGAAATCCACATTTCAGGGATGGGTGTAAAAACAGCAGTTGGCCATGAAGCCTGCTTCACAATCGTGATGGCTATAGAATCAAGGCTGAACTTTTCGTACCATCACCTGTTTTCTTCAGCTATCTATTCTCTTCCAAAATGCAAAGATCTATGGCAGATTGCGGGTGGGGAGAAACACTCTGGAAAATGTATCTCTGTGCCGTAAAGCTACTAAGGATTACAGTACCACAGTGGGTAAATGAAATTATGCATTTGACCCACGATTATGATTTGTGTGGGGGTGTGGAAAAGAGGCTAGTTGGGTTCATTGTTCCTATGACAACTCCTCTGCCCCACAAAGCAACTGAAAGCAGCTGAAATGATCAAATTGATCAAAGATCAGTTCTGAGTCCAGTATTAAGAGTCAGAAACTTACAATGTCTGAAGTTAAAACATAACTGCATAGAGCAGTTGATGCTGAACCAAGCAGAAAAACACCTCCAGGAATTCTGCCTTTGCAGTTGAAACATGCTTTTGCCCTTTCTGTCTATGTTCTCATTTGTATGTTGAGGGCAGAACCATCTCCTTAGAA